GCCGGCGCTCCTTCCAGCGGACTTACAGACGAGGGTCCGGCCGCCCAAAACCCGGCTGCGGAGCTGCCCGCGTGCCTGGGCCCTCGAGCCCGGCGGCCTCCGTCTGGTCATCTACTCGCATGTAGAAGTTGTACACGCCTCTCTCCTCGTACACCGGCAGGAGGGTCTCGTGGCCGTGCTTCTGCACCAACCTGCTCAGCTCCTGCTTGAGCTTCCTGCCGATGATGCCGTCGCGAGGGATGACGCAGCCCCGGCTTCCTCCAGCACGAGCAGCTGCCCTGCCCGAGCCACTTGCGAGGCAGAGGCCAGAACCTTGTGCGCGTCTGTGAGCCGACCCGTGATGTTCCGCACCATCGAGTTCTCATCAATGCACTGTAGCTTGACGCCTCCGTAGTCGGAGATCCTCTCCCCGCTCGCCGTGACGTAGCCCTTGTGGCTGCCGTCCTCGTGCTTCCCCTCGTGGCCCTCGAACCACTTCTGCGGGTACGCCGTAGCGGCGGCTCCTGTGTCCAGGTTGAACTTCAAGTAGCCGTCGGCGCAGTGGCTGGCCGGGAACTTCGTGTCCAGAGCCCCCATGTCCAGCGCTCCCTGCTCGCCTTCCGGCTCGCCGTCGTCCTCGCGCTCTGTGTCCAGGGAACCAGCGTGCTTGCCCTTGCCCTTGCCCTTCGCCTTGGCTGCGGACTTCGCCTGGCCCTTCGGGCCAGCAGGCTTTTTCGCACGGCAGTCCTTGGCCTTGTGGCCCCACTTGCCACGCCACCAGTTGTTGCAGTACCCTTCGAACGGAGCAGGTCTGGAGCTGTCAGCTTTGCCCCCTCGGGCCTTGCCCTTGCCGTCAGTGCCTTTGCCTTTGCCCTTACCTTTGCTTCCCTTGGAGTCGCCCTTGCCCTTCCAAGCAAGAGAGTCGACGTCCATGGGCTTGACCCCGGCATCCGCGTTGGCAGTCGGCATGCGGTCTCGCGCGCTGATCCTGACCTGCTTTCCCGTTCTGGTTTCGTAGTACTGCACTACCTCGGCACGCACGTCGGCGCACTTCTTCAGCCTGGACGCGTTGAGCTGCAAGTGTTTCTCCAGCTCCTCGGGCACCATGGCCTCCAAGGCCGAAGCAAGAAAGTCGTCCGCAATCTGTGCCTCGCCAAGTTTCTGCGCCTTCTTGTTGCAGCTGGTCACCATGGCCTCCCACGTCTGCAGCGCCGCCCCGAGCTCCTCGATCTTCACCTTGCTCGGTGACATGATCGCCCTCAGGAGTGTCCGGCGCCTCCCGCCGCTCAGCGAATCAAAGCGTCGGCGCAGCAACCACCAGGCTTCCAGGCCGTTTCCCGCGCAGCTCTGCACGATCGCCCATGCCTCGCCTTCTGTGGTGCTGGCAAGGACAGCCTTAAACTGCTGGTTGAGACCCCTCATCCCTTCGATGAAGTTCTCGTCTGCGCCTCCAAAATGGAGGTCCACGTCGTCAACGCTGAGAGGATCGTCTTGGTCCAGGGCCCACTCCAGCGCACGACCCAGCAGAGGCTCTACACCGCACAGATAGTCCTCTATCTTGCGGGTCCACTCCGGGAACCTGGATTCATCTCCTGTGAACGTCCATGGTTTCCCGATGGCCTTCTGGTCCACCAGCTGCGGCCTCTCGCGCCTCGCGAAGGCCTTCGTTTGCTCCGCGAGCACAGACACCAGTTGTCGCAGCACCTCAGTGGTGCCTGGAACTGCTGCTGCTGCTACAGCTGCTGCCGCGCCCGCCGCGGCGTGGCTCTGCGGAAGGGTTCCAATATGGTTCTGTTGTTGGGTCACGGTGGTCTGAAGCTGCTGGTTCCCTGCCCGGAGCAACCGGAGCTGCTCCGTGACCTCCTGAAGCTGCGCCTGCACTGCTTGCAGCGCTGCCTCGGCCATCTCGTTCTTGGCTCAAGCCCTCTCTCTTGACCTGTGCTCGTCCGAAGGCTGCTCCTGCTCGCGCCTGCGGGGCTGCCCGCAGCGCTTGGGCCTCGCGCGCAGCGACGTCCAGCCGCCCACTGGGCCTGGCGGAGGAGTCGGGCTACGCCTCTCGTCAGCCCCTCCTTCTCCCCGTGGATCCAAGCGCTCGCGCCTCCCGCGCTGGCGCCTGGGCCGCTCCTCGCACGCCGATCGCGGGTGGTCCCGCGACCTACTCCCCCGCTCGAGGCGGGGCCTCTGGCAGGGGCGGGGCTGCCCGCTCCTTGGTGTGCTGCCGGCGGTGCTGCCCGCCAGCAGAGGCCGCAGGCTGGGGCGGGGCTGCCCGCTCTCCAGCCACGCGGCGGAGTTGACCTCGTAGGATTCGTTCGAGACGTCGATATTCAGATCGACGTTCACCTCTCGAGCGCTTCTTCGGCGGCATGCGAGGGCAGCAGCACCCTACGCTACCATGAAGAAGTGTTTTGAGCCGAAAGGGCTATGGATGCATATGCAATCATTGCAACTGCTGATGCTACAACACGCCCACATAATTTATGAGCAGAGAGGGTATTTCAACCCCCCCCCCACCCCCTTCGCCGCGCCAAACCCGCATGATACGTAAACCTTCTCCGTCGGCACGCTGCGGACGCTGAGCGAGATCATGAGAGCACACTCAAAGAGCACGTGGGTAGGTACAGTATTCGGCCTGACCTATGGAACGATAGATAAGGAACGAGGCCCCTTTTGTTCCAAACAAGTCTAGGAAGTCCGAGGAAACACCGGGGGACTCGCAGCCAAACAGGTAGCGGAACGCATGCAAACCAAAGGAACGACCGAGCCCCTTTTGAAAAGCATGCGTTCCATATTTAAGCCTGATCCTGTACGCAGTCAACCCGTATAATGAGGACGCACGATAAGGATGCAAGGGTCTTGAAGGCCAGGGCGATGTTCTGCGAGCGGGGCGCGGCCAGCGAAAGCGGCCAGGGATGAGCCGAAGGGGAAATAATGCAAAGGTAACCTTGGCAGGTCGGTTATCCTTACTGTGCGGGTTGACTGTAGGCACAGTGGCGTTACCCGTGGGGAGAACAACTCTGCGCATCTGTGCGGTGAGCCCCTAGAAAATGCAGCGGCAGGAGACGAAGCTGCAGGGGTCGGCGAGGGAGGACGGACGGGCGACGGGGGGGAGGAGCCAAGGAAAAGGAGGAGGAGGAGGAGGAGACAAAATGGAAGAGGAGAAGAAAGACGCATGCGAAAATGAAAAGCAACAGAGAGAAAGGTATACGGAAACAGAGGAGGGAGCGGAGAAGAGGGAGTCTGACGGAGATAAGCAACAGGGAGACAAGCAAGTGGAAAAGGGAGACGGAGCGGATGATCGGAGGAGTGCGACGAATGGGATTCGTGGGGCAAAAGGGTGGAGCCATAGAGAGGAGCAGAGAGAGGGGGAGAGGACAAGCTAGGTGCGCTCGCGTCATATCTGACGTCCTACCACTCCCTCCCATCCCTTACCATGGCGCTGATTTTCTCTATCCGCGGACGCGTGTCGTAGCGGACCTGTGGCTCCGCGCGCGCGTGCGTAGTGGGTGGTGGTGCACGTGCGTGCGTGCGTGCGTGTGTGCGTGGTTGTCGTGGTGGTGGTGGTGGTGGTGGTGGTGGTGGTGGTGGTGGTGGTGGTGGTGGTGATGGTGGGTGGTGGTGGTGGTGGTGGTTGGTGGTGTTGGTACTGGTGCTGGTGCTGGTGGTGGTGGTGTGGTGGTGGTGGTGGTGGTGGTGGTGGTGGTGGTGGTGGCGGTGCGGCGCGGTGGTGGCGGGCGGATGGGCGCGCGAGAAAAAGGCCCGCGCTGGGGCGAGAACGCCATCCTGAACGACGGAGGCCAAACACCGATCCAAAAATGAGGCCCACGCTGCAGCGGGAGCACGATTCGGAACGATTCGGAAGCAGAAGTGAGGCTGGCGCCTCAACGAGAGCAACATGTTGGGAAAAAATGACGCCGGCGCCTCAGCGAGAGTCGTTTCCCGGGATTTCCCGGGAATCCTGTGTAAAAAACAGTACGCGGAGGGTGCGCGGCCATCACCCGGACGCCATCAGGGGAAGAGGGAGAATATTTTCATATCGAGTAACTGTAGAGGTAGAGAGCGAGAGAAGGAGAGATAGAGAGAGAGAAAGAGAAATATATATATATAGAGAGAGAGAGAGAGTGAGAGAGAGAGAGAGAGAGAGAGAAAGAAAGGGATACAGCGCGAAATTCAGTGCGGGATGTCCTTCCAGGGGTGCGGGGGTCTGGCGCCCGCAACGCCCACCTCTTCTGGCGGGAGGTGCCGCTTGAAAAGCTGGGGTGGGGAAGCTACCCTCCCCCCTAGCGCAGTCTGGGAGGACCCCGGCTGGAAAGCAAAAGCGGGACGTCACAAGGGCGAGACCCGCCCCTTCTGCCAGAGACGCCTGCGAAGAGAGAGAGAGAGAGAGAGAGAGAGAGAGAGAGAGAGAAAGAGACAGACAGACAGAGACAGAGACATAGAAAAAGAGATAGATAGAGAGAAAAAAAAAAAGAGGAAGAGAAAGAAAGAGGGGAGGGAGAAAGAGAGAGAGAGAGAGCGAGAGAGATGACAACACGCACAACGGCAAGAGCGGAGGTTGGGGGAGGCAGGATAAGTATTTGTTTTGTTCCCCGACGTGAGCATCAACGCGTGACGGCGCTGGCACCGTAACTCGCGTGCGTGCCGCTCGCATCACGAGCCAAGTGAAAAAGAGATCGCGCGAAGCAACTCCGCAACCCGAATCGAGGGGGGTGCGGGCCGATGCTACACTACCGCCCAGGACGCATTACGACCCCTGCAGTAGCGTCGCGGCACTCCACCTGCTGGGGCGTGAACTGCACGCGGCGCCAGACAACGTCAAAAATGGGACGGAGGAAATGGAAGGGGATGAAGAGGAGGGGGAGGAGGAGGGGGAGGAGGAGGAGGAGGAGGAGGAGAGAAGGAGAGGAGGAGGGAGGGAGAGGGGGAGGAGGAGGAGAGGAAGAGGAGGAGGAGGTAGGAGGAGGAGGAGAGGAGGAGGAGGAGGGAGGAGGAGGAGGAGGAGGAGGAGGAGGAGGAGGAGGAGGAGGAGGAGGAGGAGGAGGAGGATAGGAGAAGGATTTTTTGACATCCACAGCCATGGACCCCACGTGAATGAGGAAGGTGATGAGGGACTTGCCGAACACCAGGACGACGGAGTAGCCAACCAAGAATACGACAACTCCCACCATCAGGAAAGATACTTCGAAGGAGTCGAGAACTTCAATGAAATACAAGCTTTGGACACGCAGACCGAATGACCGTCAAATCTCGTCGGACAGCGGCAGCCCATGCAATTCGAATAGAATGACGCCGCGACCCAGGAAGAGCCCCGTGCAGTACCCGACAGATACCAGCAGCTCCACATACAGGAGGCGGGAGAGGTCGAACCAGGAATCCACGCTCCGTGCGAGAAAAAATGAGTGTCGTAACGGCGCCCCGTGCCGCGAGCCCAGAACCTGAAATTCCATAAAAGGACGACTCAAAAGGAAGTATCTTGATGAAAAATAAGAAAGGCGACGCCGTCAGCCAAACAGTCGCCCTTCTCCTGGGTCATGAGGAAGATCTCGAGGAACCCAAACAGCCTTGCGTTCAGGAACAGGACCTGCGACATCGCGAGACTTCTCAAGAGCGGCGAACTCGCGAGAAGGAACATCACGAAGCCAGACTCGAGCAATGCGGTCGCGAGCAGCCCACCACGCTGCGCTCGAGACACGGTCGGGGCAATCCACATGACCAGCAGCGAGAAGGACGTCTGGAATATCCACGTCCTGCCACGCTGTGCTGCTGCTGCTGCACACCCTGACATCTGACACAATCTCGGCGCAGCTGGAGAAAACCACTGCTCCACACGTGCACCTGTGCCCGACGGGATCCACGGTGAGGCCGAGGATCGGGTGGAAGCAAGCAGCGTCTGCGCGCAGACCGTCCTCCACTCCACCTCCAGCGCGACCAGAGCCACGGGGACGACGACCGCGAGGACGGCGACCACGTCCCTGGCGCTGAAGGCGGTTCAGCACAGCCCCCTGCGCCTCCGCGAAATTCGAGGCGGGGATGCCAAACTCGTGCGAGGCGAGGTTGCGCCGCGCTACGGCCAGAGGCGCGGGGTCCTCCTGGGCGATGTCGGCGGCCAACACCGGCGCCACCAGCCGGAGCCGCGCTAGCAGCTCGCCGCCCTCTTGCCCCTCCTGCCTGACCAGCTGCTCCAGCGCCGCTCGGGAAGCAGCAGCGTCCGCGAGCGCAGCGGCCAGTTGCGCCTGCAACCGACGGATGGCGGAGTCGGCCGCGGCGGCAGCGGCGCGCTGGGCAGCTCGGCGCTGAGCCGAGCGCTTTGTGGGGCTCTCCAGAGCCTCCTCCCGTACAGCCATCATGCCCGTGAGCCAAAAGCCCCGCTCCCCCAAGTCCCTCACGCCCGCCGCGTTGCCCCGTGAACCTGGGGTCGCAGGGTACGCCGAGGGACAAGGTCCAGGAGCAGGGGGCCTACGGAAAGGCATGAGCCAAAATGGCTACGGAAGGAGGGAGGAGGAGGAGGAGGAGGAGGAGGAGGAGGAGGAGGAGGAGAAAGGAGGAGGAGGAGGAGGAGGAGGAGGAGGGAGGAGGAGGAGGGGGAGGAGGAGGGGGAGGAGGGGGAGGAGGGGGAGGAGGGGGTGGAGGGGGGGGGACAGCACAAGCGCGGCGAGGTGGCCGCAGCTGGGTGGCCGCAGCTAGATGGCCGAAGCTGGGCCGCTTGCAGGAGGCAGGGGGCATGCGTCAAAGTCCTGTCCCGTCCGAGGGGGTGCCGATGGTCCGGCTGCCCACGGGCGCGCAAGGAGGGAGAGGAGGAGGGGGGCGCCGAGCTCGCGAAGATGCAGACCAGCTGAGGCTCGGCCCAAGGCGCGCGCGCGCACAGGTCCCAAAAGGAGCAGGGGAAGAGGGGAAAGGCAGAATGGAAGAGCAGGGAAGCGAAGCCGTGCAGACAAGGACGAAGGGTGAATGTGGATCGGCGCGTGGTGAGGTGCAGGGGAGGGGGACGGGAAGCTATCTGAGCAAACTGCCCCGGGCGCTCCCAGGGCGGACGCCGCCCTCCCAAGACAAGGGGGCAGCGCGGGATGAAGGAGCACAAAACCAGCATGGGCACGCACCGGAGGGAGGACAGATCGCAAGAGTACGAAGAAGCGAAGAGGAGAGGGGAGCAGAAGACAAGCGCGCGGGCATCCTGGCCTCCGCGAACAGCTGCACCACAAGTCAGGGGGAAGGGGGGGGGGGCAAGGGCGAGAAAAGGGACATCGGGGGAAGGAAGGGACGAAGGAAGCGAGCATGGCCTGCGACATCCGCGCGACCGGGCCTCCGGCCGATCTGAAGGCCTGCGTGAACAAGAGTGCGCCACGGCGCCGTCCCATGCAGCCCCCGGGCCAGCTCTTCCCAACTAGTTGTGCTAGTTTTAGGTCGGGCGTGTCCCCCTCAGGCGGATTAGCATACTCCAAAATGCCCCCAAAGAGCCAAAAAATAAACAAACAATCGTTCCCAGACTATGTTTTGTTTACTTTTTGGAACATTCCTCCTCTACAGAGGGACAGGCCCGACTCAGCGCTAGTTGCCCTCGTGCTCGTGGCTGTGGTCGAGCCTGTCTCTGTGGTGCTTGTCGTCGACGTCGTGCTCGTGCCCGCTGCGTTCGCACCTGCTGTAACAAGCACGCCCTGGCCAGCACAAGTAGTCAATCCTCCAAGCCTCGGCATGCACCGCCGCAGCCGCACGGCACCGCCCGGGAAAACTTCTATGTTTTCGCCGGCGGCAAGGCAAGGGCAGTCCGCTCCTGCGCGTGGCTCTTCGGGGCCACCGGAAGGCAAGTTGTCCGGCGTGCCAGAGGGAGGAATAGAGGGCAACAAAAATCCACCCCCGTGATCACCACCCCGACAAGCGAGGCCGTTTACGAAACGCCCCCACTGAAGGAACCGAACAGGGCAGGGCTGTTTAGTAAACGACCAAGGCCGTTTAGTAAGCGCCACTTGTCCGGTCCGGGTGCTCTTCCCCCCCAGGAAGGACGACGACCGACCCGGAGAGCGGGAGGACTCCTCCCGCACTCTCGCGGCGTCAGCGCAGGACCGCAGCCTCTCAGCCCCAGACGACATGGATATTCTAAACGGCGCCTTATGTCTACACTGGCTTCTGGCTCTACAGAAACGACCTTGAGCAACGCCCAGCTGACTGCCAAGGGAGGAGGCCGTGCGCCAGGGGCCCCCGGCAGCGGCGGCAGGAGGAGGACGAGGAACCCACCGCGGGAGAGGGGCGGGGCGAGGAGGGGGGGCCACGGCCCTGCCGCGCGCGCCCCCGGAAGAAGAGGGGCGAGCGACGGGCGAGGGGGCCGCCCCCCCCAGGCGGGGGAAGGAGAGAGGCCGGAGGCCGACTCAGGAGCGAGACGGGCGAGGCAAGGGCGGGGCACCACCAGGGGAGAGGGGGGAGAGGAGGAGCAGGAATCGAGGAGGGGATCGACTACAGAATCGATGTACCCCAGAATGTGATTCGTGGTCGAGTCGACAGAAGATGTGTGGGAAGATCGTGGATCTACGGAACAATCTTCGCACTTCTTTCGTAGATTCGGCTGGAAAACCAGTTTTGGGATACATCAATTCTGGGGTCGATCCCCTATGCGAAGGAAGCGGAGGGAGAGAGGGGGGAGGGCCAACCGGGGAGGGAGGGAAGGGAGGGGGGAGGAGGGGAGAGGAAGGGGAGGGGCGGAGGACCAGACCCCTATCACCAGCAGCACACGCAGGAAGGGGGCCCCAGCGCCACGGCCAACCGCAGCATGCGCCGCTGTCCCAGCAGCGAAGCCCCAAATCGGCAAGTGCAGGATGCGACTCCGCAGGAAACGGGAGGAAGGCGGGAGAGGAAGGGAGCAGCAAGGCGAACAGCAACAGGTCGTCACGCACAGCGCCGCCTCGCAGGCTGGCAGGCGTACCGCCCGAGGCCCACCTGGTGCAAGTACCTCTAGGTCGGGCATGTCCTCCTACAAGCGGAGTTTGGACGATAGAAATAATAACACAAACATCGAACATAGTCAAAAAAAAACATCGTCCCCATCCCACCTTTAATTAGAGGGAGACGCCGGACTTAAAATACCAGAAACAGGCCCTGTCCAGGGGCCAAAACATACTGAGCACGACCAACGGCCAGATAATGCTCAACGTCTCTATGCTGATACCAGCTGGCTTTCGCACTCCACGATGTTATAGACGCACGTGCTCCAATTCAGGTGTTGCTGGGCGTCGTGCTGCTTCTGCCTGTTGAGCTGTTGAGCGTCGTGTTGTTGCAGCCCGTCGTACTGCATAATCGTGATGCTTGTAACCGTCGTGCTCTGGACCCCTCAGAGGCGGACGTTCGCGAAGCGGGAAAATGGGCCAGGGACGGAGAGGGCGACAAGTTCAGAGAGCCAAGGTCATGAATCAATCATGGATAAGCGCCTCTGTTGGAGTCACTGCGCCTTGCGGCTCTGGGGTTGGGGCGGCAGTCGGGGGGAGGCACGGCATGGCCGGCGCAGGAGCTGATGTTGGAACATTGGTCGGAACGTGCGCTGGGGCCAGAGTCCGAGCCAGCGCTATTGCCAGCGTTTCTGTTGATGGTGGCGTGTCTGACGGATCTGGCAATGAAGCGGCAGTCAAAAGGATGCCCGAGTATGCGAAAAGCCTTCACCGTGCTGACTTCGAGCGCCACGGCCTGGACGTCCATCCGCTGACGGAACCGCAACTAAGTAGAACCAGACTGTAAATCCGCATATCCGGCATGTGAGTTTCTGAGAGCGTGGGCTTGAGCTCGCCCAAGCTTCGCTCGGTCGGGGGGGGGGCTGACGCCATTCAGGCCCGGGAGGGAGGAGGGGGGAAGGGGCTGACGCCATTCAGGCCCGGAGAGGGAATGGGGGGGGGTACGCCATTCAGGTCAGGGGGGGAGGAGGGGGGGGCTTCGCTCTGTCGGGGGGGCGGGGGCCTGACGCCATTTAAGCCCGGGATGGAGGAGAGGGGGGGGGGGGGGGGCTGACGCCGGTCAGGCCTGGGAAGGAGGAGGGGGGGTGCTCTGTTAGGGGGGGGGGGCTGACGCCATTCCGGCCCGGGAGGGAGGAGGGGGGGGAGGGGGCTGACGCCATTCAGGCCCAGGAGGGAGGAAGGGGAATGGGGGGGGAACGCCATGGGAGGGGGTGGGGGGCTGACGCCATGGCTTACGCCATTCAGGCCTGGGAGGGGACCTGGGGGGAGAGGGGGGGGCCTGACGCCATGGGGGACGCCATCGACGGAACGCCATGGCTGACGCCATTCAGGCCCGGGAGGAGGAAGTCGAAGTCGGGGGGAGGAAAGGGAGGGGGAGGGCTCACGCCATGGCTGACGCCATCCAAGCCCGGGAGGGCGGAAAAGGGGGGGGGGACGGAACGCCATGGAGAGGAGAAGGGAGGGGGAGAGGGAACGCCATGGCTGACACCATTCAACCCCGCCCGGGACGGGGGAGCCGGGGGGGGGCGGGGGCTGACGCCATGGCTGACGCCATTCAGGCCCCGAAGGTGGGAGGGGACACCCCATGAGTTTGGCTTTTCACGCGAGATCGCTACTGTCGAATATCCGTAGGTTGCCCAAGCAAGTCCAACACCTGTATATTGTGAGGATGTCTCGAGCGAGTGTTCTACTTTTCAACATAGGCGGTCATCCGTTCGACAAAAAACACGGAGCCAGAGTCGGAGCTGGAGTCGGAGGCGGGGTCCAAATAGAGGAGCAACAATCGGGGCCGGCCTTGGAGAGACGGTCGGAACGGGCTGTGGAATTCCTGTTCAGAGCCAGGAATGTGGCCGGAGGCAGGGCGGGAAGGGCGATCGGAATGGGTCTCGGAATTGGAGTCCGTGCAATGTCCGCAATGCTGGAGCCGGTCGCGATTGCTGGACAGCGCCGTGCTGCTGGGGCCCGTGGTCCTGCGCATCGCCGCATCGCCGTGCTGCTGCAAACCGTCGCGATGCACGGCGCCGTGACTGTTGCGCGCACAAGTGTGGCACTCTACCATGCTGCGTTGCGGCTCGTCGTCGGATTGCTGGAAACTGGCCGTGCTGGACGTCGTCGCGTTTCCGGTGCCCGTCTCGCTACGCCGCGCTGCCCATAGACGGATGTCATAAATGGATGTCGACGCGGTGCTTGCCCCTCTTCGGGGGGTCGCCATGGTAACAGCCGCTTCCGCCGAGCTGACGGGCGATTCCGTCGTTGTGGACGCCGCGTGGGTGTTCGACTCTGCAATGCTGGTTCCTGCTGCGGCGATCACTTCCGTCATGGCGGGCGGCATGCCAACGCTCGGCTGCGTAGCGCTGGGGCGCCCCATGGATGCATTCAGATCA